ACCTGAGCTGAAGGCAGATGCTTAAGCGAATGACAACCACCCAGGTGTCCCAGATGGTTGCTGTATTTTAAAATTTTTATTTATTTTATTTAATGTCTAAGTTTTATGTTTATTTTGAGGCATTTCTCATTGAATACATATTCATTTTCTCTCAATTAAATGGATTAAGGCTTATAAATATTGAAAATAAAATTCGATCATATTGACATGCTGTGTTATGTCCTGCTTTTCATTTAAGAGTATTTCATGGACATCTTTCTTTCCGTAAATGGATATCTGTAATATACTTTTTAATTTTAACTCTTAATTTTGAGATAGTTTTAGATTTTCAAAAAGTTGCAAAATTAGTACAAAGAATTCCTGTTTACCCTTCCCTTAGCTTCTTCTAATGTTAACATCCTACATAACATAGTACACTGATCTAAACCAGAAGATTAACATTCATACAATACTAATAACTAATCTGTTATTAGAATTTTATCAGTTGTACCACTAATGTCCTTTTTATGGTCCATGATTCAGTCCACAGTCCCACATTGCATTCAGTTATTATGTATCCTTAGTCTCTTCCCATCTGGGACACTTCCTCAGACTTAATATTTTTATTTTTTTTCTTTCTTTCTTCCTTCCTCCTTCCTTCCAGAGAGTGTGCGCATGCGAGTGTGCGCGCACACACACACACACACACATATACACACACCTGCATGAGCGGGGAGGGGGAGGAGGGACAGAGAATCTCAAGCAGACTTCCCACTGAGCACAGAGCCGGCTTGGAGCTCCGTCCCACGACCCTGAGATCATAACCTGAGCCAAAATCAAGAGTCAGACTCTCAACCGACTGAGCCACCCAGGCGCCCCTTAATATTTTTAAAGAGCACTGGCCTGTTATTTTGTCTCTTGATTTGGGTTTGCCTAGTGTTTTCTCATGATTAGATTGAAGTTATGCTTTTTTGGCAAGGATACTACATTTTTGGCATGAGGACCACAGAAGTGTTTCTGTCTTCATCTCAGTGAATCATTTCAGGAGGTACTTGATGTTAATAATGTGAACTGTTCAACATATTGCTGGGTGATGTTAACTTTGGTCACACGATTAAGGTAGTGAGTGCCAAGTTTGTCCACATAAAATTATTTTTCTCCTTGCAAATATGGTTTCTCATCATATTTTTATTCTCTGATTTTAGTATCCCTTGACAGTCTTGTCTTTCACCACTATTACTGTGGGCTCTGCCAAGTGGTGATTTTCTGTTTCCATCTTTTCTTCTACATTTGGTACTTACAGATCTCTGTGAAGAAGAGCTTTCTTTTCTCTTCCACTTATTTATTTATTTATTCAATTATTTATACCACAGTATGATTTTTAACTATAAAGTGTTTCTGTCTATGTATCTATACATACACATATACATATCATAAATCATTTAGGTAAATATTAATGGACATTGGGATTATTTTTTTAGTACTCCTAGCACCATAATGAACATAGAGTTATTTCCCTAGGATAAATTGCTGTAAGAACAATCACATAGAAAAGCAGGCTCCTGCTGGAAGTGTCAGAAGGCACATACTTAAAAAGTACGTATTTCCCTGTAGAAAAGTTAATACACATGCCACTCAAACAACACATGAAAGTGACTGCCCATTTCCCTACACTAGGGACAGCATTTCTCACCAGCTTCTGATTTGTTGTCATATTATTTTGGGGAATGGGGCAAAATATATATAAAGGAAACATTTTTTATTTTATTTTATTTTTTTTAAAGATTTTATTTATTTGAGAGAGAGAGCGGGTGAGCACACAAGCGGGAGGAGGGGTAGAGGGAGAGGGAGAAGCAGATTCCCTGATGAGCAGGGAGCCAAGGCGGGGCTCCATCCCAGGACCCAGGGATCACAACCTGAGTGGAAGGCAGCTGCTTAACCGATTGAGCCCCCAAGAACCCCCCACCAAGTTATTCTTGATCATACAACCTGTTCCATCTTATTCACAGACGTGAAATTTCCTTATATATTTAATATTAATTATTATAGCTAACACTTAATTACCATAAGCACTTTTCATACATTAACTAAGTGGTGTGCTACTTAATGCTTATCAATAAGCTCTCCAAAGTCCAAAACTCTGATTTGTAGTGCTTGCTGATTTCTGTGTGTAAACACTCTCCTCAGGGAGGGTTTTCAAGCTATCAAACTGACGTCAGTGAACACCAGTTTGGGAATTGACGTGCAGTAGCACACCATTATACAGTATTTGCCATAGTAATATAGTAGTGATAAATAACCTCAAGAGCACAGATAAAACAAAAATGTAGTAAAATAATTAGGAAGTAATTTGCATATTTATTACCTTGTTTTAATATTGTAAGTCTATATAATTTAATTCTTGATAATTGTGTTTATTTTTTTATTTTTAAGATTTTATTTATTTATTTGACAGAGAGAGACACAGCAAGAGAGGGAACACAAGCAGGGGGAGTGGGAGAGGGAGAAGCAGGCTTCCCG